TGATAAATGCCAGATTAATGATGCATTTGTCATCATTATTGCTTCTTAGATTATATGATGGAATTTTAATGTATTGTTTTTCAACATAAGCTGGCAAGTAATTTTGATTTTGAAGATTTCTGAGAGGTTCTTGATCCAGACTTTAAGGACCACACTTTAAAACAGAGTGATCTGTGTCACCCTGAGCTTTTTGGCAGAAGGTACAACTAAAATGAATTAAATATAACCATGCACCATATACTAGCAACTATGCTCCGTGGCTATGGAGGTTATTTTAAAAGTTTTACTTGGCAAAGCTTCTAAAATAAGTTAAATAAGAAATGAGCGTGTTCAAAGAATGTTTGATACTCTCCACTAAATATGTCTGAGGTTTATTACTACCATGCTACTCTCTTGGCCTTCCAGACTGATACAAACCCAGCTTTTCCAATAGGTCTTTGGAGACTGATTATGGAACTAGGATTATTAATACTTGTTATTTTTATTTCACTGATTGAATGTGTATTTACTATTTTTTACTTTAATGCGGTAATCCTCAATTTGCAACCACAACGGAGCCCAAAATTTCTATTGCTAAGTGAGACACTTAAGTGAATTTTATCCCATTTTATGATTAATGAAATCCTAAATTAGCTAATGCAATCCTAAATTGTATTAACAGAGGGATACAATCAAGATCAAGTGAGGTACTAATATCACTCTAAAAAGCCTTAGTAAGACCACACCTAGAGTACTGCATCCAGTTTTGGTCACCACACTATAAAAAAGATGTTGAGACTCTAGAAAAAGTACAGAGAAGAGAAACCAGAATGATTAGAGGACTGGAGATTAAGGCATATGAAGAAAGGTTACAGGAACTGGGCTTGGCTAGTCTGGTGAAGAGAAGAACCAGGGGAGACATGATAGTCTTCCAATATTTGAGGGGCTGCCACAGAAAGGAAGGGGTCAAGCTATTTTCTAAAGCACCCAAAGGCCAGACATATCCAAAAAGGAGAGGTTAAACCTAGAAATAAGGAGAAACTTTCTGACAGGGAGAACCGTCAACCAATGGAAAGAAGTTGCGGGAGTGCCATCACTTGAAACTTTCAAGAAAAGATTGGACTCCCATCTGTCAGAAATGGTGTAAGATCTCTTTCTTGGGCAGGGGCTTGTACTAGATGACCTACAAGGTCACGTCCAACTCTGATTATCTGTTATCCTTGCCATGAGTAAATCACTACAGTTATTAAGCTAGTAGCACAGTTATAAAGTGAAGCTGGTTTACCCATTGACTTAGCTTGTCAGAAGGTTAAAAAAGGTGGTGACATGACACCAGAACCCTACAATCATTATAAATGAGTTAGTTGCCAAGTTTTGATCATGTGACCATGGGGATGCTGCACTGGTCATAAGTCACTTTTTTGAGTGCCCTTGTAACTTTGAACAGTCATTAAATGAATTGTTGTTGAGTCGAGGACTACCTGTACTTGCAAACTGTCTTTACAACTGAGGCATTTCACCATTATTTTTTAAAAAAATCAAACAATTAAATAAAATAATTCTACTCTTATCTGTACTGAATTAAACATTAATGGAAAACTGTTTATTTTTTATTTCTTTTGTTTTGAACACCGAATCTTCTATCCAAAGTACAGAATGTTGAATCATTCCACTTCCCAAGCAGGCCCTTTTATCATTAATTATAAAAATATGACAGTATAACAAAAAAGGAAAGAGGTCATCAGAGGGGTATGTAGAATATGGTAACAAAAAGTCAGTATGACAGTCATGATGTTGTGATCAAAGCTGTTTTAATGTAGAAATAAAATATGTGGACCTTTGATGGTGCTACTGCAGCTGCCATCTTAAGCTGTTTGACCACTCTGCAGACCCCTTTGGAAGTCCTAGAAAACAGACTAGAAATTTTTAGAAAATTTGGGGAAGGGGAGAAAGAAGTAGATACCTCTTCCTAGGTTACACATACCTTGACTTATGACCCTAATTGGGACCAGAATTTCCATGGCTAAACAAGATAGTTGTTAAGTGAGTTGTGCCTGATTTTATGACTTTTTTTGCTAGTTAATTGAATTATTGCACTTATTAAGTGATTCATGTGGTCATGTGGTCAGAATCATGCTTCTCCCATTGCATTTGCTTGCAAAGATGCCTGGGAAGGTTAGGGACTCTGCAACAATCGTAAATACAGGTTGGTTGCCAAGCACCCAAATTTTGATCATTTTACTGTGGGGATGCTAACAGAATAGTTGTAAGTCATTTTTTAAAAACGTCTTTGTAACTAAATCAATGGTTGTTAAGTCAAGGAGCAGGGGGTTGGACTAGAAAACATCTGGGACATCTTCCAACTCTCGTTATTTGTTAAGGATACCTGTATTTTGATTTTCCCTAACAGATCAAGCTGGGCTTTAACAACCATTACAAAACTGCCTAGGTTCAAGGATGCTACTTATGTGAGTTCATTAGACATTCAGAAGGAAAATATATTTTTATGGATAAACTCCCATATGTGCTAAAGTTAGCATTGTGAAATTGCTGCACATGTCTATATATATTTTAGCATGTTCTCAATAATATGAGAGTTGCTCAAAGCTCTTGATGTTACAGCAGTTAATCAGGGAATGGAAATGAAATCTAACTTCTTTCTTTCTCCTCCAAGATAATATTAGCTGCTGACTAACTTGGAAATATACAACACAGCCTCTGTTAATATTTACTTTTTAAAAACCCAATTCCTTTTTTATTCTAGGATAATATTAACTGGCTAACTAGAAATATGCAATGCATTTACCATATTGTAAGGACAAGCTCAGTTTCTGATATCTCCATAGTTTTCATGATGATGTTGCAGAAATAGTTTGTCACGGCTTCTTCTGGTTTCTCAATCTAGCCTGGAATTTACCCATGCAAATTGTAACTAGGCCCAGACCTACTTAGCTGCCAATTTCAGAGAGAGCTGGCCACTTACTAAGGCTTACCTAACTGTATTGGGGCAAAAGTATGTTTTAGGGTTGGGGGCATAATGGTAGGCAGGAATGAATCTGGAAGATGGGAGGAGAAGGAGGGGGTAGCCCATAACATAACGGGCAGAGAAACAAACTCAGAAAGGAACCTCCCAAATTTATCAAGTAGTAAAACATGGTGACAGATTTGTACTTTCAAACTTGGAAGAATATGTTAATTTAGCCTTACAATCAGCTCATCTGGTCATAAAATCACAGTAGCCTAGAGGTGGAACTCTTGCCTCACAATTAGGAGGCTATGAGTTAGATCCTAGGTAGAAGCTAATATTTGGAATAGACTCTCCTGCTGGAGCAGGGGGTTGGACTAGATGACCTCCAAGATCCTTTCCAACACTGTTATTCTTCTATGTTTCCCGTCTGATCTACCTGGGAAGGCTGACAGCTAGTAACTCTTGAAACCAATAAAATCTGTGTTTCAAGTATGTACGAAACTGCAAATGCAAATATTTTTAACAGAAGATAAAATGTATGATTATGTTTATCACAGTAGTTAGGCTAGTATAAATGTATGTATGTGTGTATGTTTCAAAAATAATGTTCACTGGGGAGGGTGAAAGACTTAAGTGTTTCCCTTATTGCCAGCTATATTTTTTGACTTGCACCTGTTTTATTTTGCATGCAGATACAGGGGAAAGAGATTTTATTTCTCTATTGCTCTTTCTTCTAGTCAGAGAAGTCCAGTCTTTTACAATGGACCAGAAACAACTTTAAGTACAACTTTATAATACATTACAAGCCATTCTTAAATTAAAAAATTCAGAATCATAGTAATTATTTTGCTTTAACTTTAAGCCTCCTTGGCTGTGAACATTCATGCTGCAGTTCCTGTGTTGCAATAGAATTGCCTTCAGCCAACATAACCCTGTGTATACTTTTTGTGGCAGGAAGTTTTGCAGAATTGACAAAACCGCTGTATAGAGAAGTGAGCAAATAGGTATCAGAGGTCAACACCGTAAGAGAGCTGGTGAATAAACTGCCATGCTTTCACACTTCTTCCCTCCCCCATTTTCACACCCACATATCTTGTAAGATCCTTAGGTAGAATTTAATAAATAGTTATGGGTACTGACTCACCTGGAAGCCACATTCTTTCAAATGGGTTTTTTTTTTAAAAAAAGCAGTGAATTCCTTGGTGTGAAGAAAAGCTGCTCTGTGTATGTTCAAGAGCTGCATAATCTCCTGGAATACCTCCCATCAAAATATCTTCAGAGATCACATCTAACCTCTCACACTGCATTTTCAATTAATTACAACAGAGCTATCCCACCAGTTGTAAAATAATTAAATGCACTAAACTATATTAAAGAGGGGTGAGTGGGAACATTAGGAGGAATGTTTATAGAGACAGCATAAAAGTGTGGGGCAAGGACGAAATACTGTCGTATGGAGTTATTTGGCAAAAATGTATAAAATGGAGGTCTGTGGGATTATCGTATTTGCTAAATTTAGAAAGGCACCGAGATTTACTAAAGTGGAACTGATGCAAAAAGCTAATGCTTAAAATGAATGAAACCAGGAGTTTACTATGCCAGTCCTTCCAAAAAACTCCAAACCTAGTTACTCCATCTTTACTTCGTCTCAGCTATACCGGAACGTGTGGCCTTTTGCTGCTGCGGCTTCTGTTTAAGCATTCCAAAACTGACCAAGTTAATTCCCGAGCCAAGTTCTACTTTTAGTGCAAACTTGAGCTGAATTCCCGAAAAGAGGCATTACAAACTGCCGTAGTGAAAATAATTTTTTTCGTGTACAGAAATCCCCCCCTTCTTCCCCCTTCCCCCAGCCAGGAAAAAGAAAGGGAACCGAATTTTGCAAGCAAAGCAGGCGTTCTTTCTCCACTTTCTTCCATTCGTTGTAACGGGACAACTTATTACAAACATCGCCCGCCACCAGGGAAGGAAAGACGAACCAGACCTAGTTTTGTTGTCTGTTTTTTTTTTTTTTTTTGCTGGCACGAACTCCAGCGGCTCTTCTTCCAAAGCCTACCTTGCCGGATTTTGCTGCGGCACCAACTTCCAAGAGGTTCAACCGCTATAGGGAATACCCGCGCAACCGAGGCGAAGCCGATGGGCGAAGGGTGGAGAGCGCGCACTCGGCCGCGACTGGCTATCGCCCCAGCGACGGAGCGCTCCTTTCCACGCCAGTCCGCTCGGCTCGCTGCTTCGAGAGAGGAAGTTAACACCGAGGGGAGAATTCAGGCTGCTGTTGGGGCGGGAGTGACGGGTGCTCGAAGATGACTGGGTGGGCAGAGATAAAAAGCAACAACAGGCGTTTCCTAGAATGTCCTTGAAGAAACTTTTTGCCCTCCCCTGTTTTGCTTTGCCGCTCTTTTCTTTGCTTTAATGAGATTTGATCTCTCGAAGCGAGGAGTTCCGTTTGATCACAGAGCTAAAAGGGCGTTTCTAGGTTGCACCTTCCCAAGGCTGGGTCACGGCAACATGGTATTCTCCGTGAGCTTGCCTTCCCAGCCTAAAGACAAAATGGCCTTAAGTTGTCCACACCTCTTTAACGAGAAGTGTTTTCCCACTTATTCCAACACAGGGCGAGGGAAGCCAGAGTCTTTTAATTTTTGTTATTCATTTCCTTCATATGGCCTTTTCAAATTTGTAGTTTACTTCAGACCTTGAATGCCAGCGACTTTCTAATGTGCCTTTACCTCACTCTAGAATTGTCTTTTGTGCACCATTAAACTAAAATAATAAAAATCAGGTTTTTTTGTTTAATACACCACAGCTACATGGAGTATACGTTTGATGTCCTCCCACAGCCAAATAACCTGGTCCTATGTTAATGACACTACAGCAGCTGAAAACGCAGCTGATCTTCAAGTAATGAAGTCAAGGAATACCATGAAAAATGCAGCTACAATTACTGTGTTTCTCATATAATAAGTCCGGGTCTTATTTTTTTTTTTTTTGAGCCCTGAAAAAATGGCTAGCCCGTCTTTTCGGGGGTGACTTAATTCCCCCCCCCTTGCATCTTTGGGTGGGTGGGTGGCCATGGCTTGGATGTTGACCTCAGCGTTGGTGGGGCACTTCGTATCGGGGTCAACGCAGGCAGCACCATATCTGGTTGTGCAACAAAAGTACTTCCTAATGGCAAGCCCCCCCCCCCCATTCCCTCCCATTTTGCATGTTTTAATATAGGCCTTAATTAGGGGGAGGGCTTAATTTCATTTCATGCCTACAAAGCATGCTGGGACTTCCTATTGGGGGAGGGCATATTGTTGGAGAAACAGTGTACATATAAGAAAGATCAAACTAATGCAACTGTACTTCAAATTGGCAAGATATTAAAGAATCAATCATGTACAATAAAGGAACTAGCAATAATTACAACACAGATTAGCATTTGTAGAGCAGATGCTTTACAAAAGATATTCAGATGTTGTGATGTGTCTAGATCAGAACTGTGTAGGAATGGTATTCCGTGTAGGACTTTATGGAAGCAAAAGTTTGGATTTTGAAGAAGCAACATAGGAAGAATATTGACAGTTTTGAACTTTGTTGTTGGAAAAGACTCACACTTTGGATATCACCAAATGGATCCTAGAACAACTCTCGCTCCAGGCACAAATGAGCAGACTCAAATTGTCATACTTTGGATATATGTGAAAATTTAGCTTTCTTGGAAAAATGTGAAAACTTAGCTTTATGGAGTCTGAAACTACACTGCTCAAAAAAATAAAGGGAACACTTAAACAGCACAATGTAACTCCAAGTCAACCTCACTTCTGTGAAATCAAACTGTCCACTTAGGTAGCAACACTGATTGACAATCAATTTCACATGCTGTTGTGCAAATGGAATAGACAACAGGTGGAAAGCACAGGCAGTTAACAAGACATCCCCACTAAAGGAGTGGTTCTGCAGGTGGTGACCACAGGCCACTTCTCAGTTCCTATGCTTTCTGGCCAATGGTTTGGTCACTTTTGAATGCTGGCGGTGCTTTCACTCTAGTGGTAGCATGAGACGGAGTCTACAATCCACACAAGTGGCTCAGGTAGTACAGGTCATCCAGGATGGCACATCAGTGCGAGCTGTGGCAAGAAGGTTTGCTATGTCGGTCAGCCTAGTGTCCAGAGCATGGAGGTGCTATCAGGAGACAGGCCAGTACATCAGGAGACATGGAGGAGGCTGTAGGAGGGCAACAACCCAGCATCAGGACTGCTACCTCCACCTTTGTGCAAGGAGGGACAGGAGGAGCATTGCCAGAGCCCTGCAACATGACCTCCAGCGGGCCGCAAATGTGCATGTGGCTGCTCAGACGGTCAGAAACAGACTCCATGAGGGTGGTATGAGGGCCCGATGTCCACAGGTGGGGGTTGTGCTTACAGCCCAACACCATGCAGGACATTTGGCATTTGCCAGAGAACACCAAGATTGGCAAATTTGCCACTGGCATCCTGTGTTCTTCATAGATGAAAGAAGGTTCACACTGAGCACATGTGACAGACATGCCAGGGTCTGGAGAGGCCGTGGAGAATGTTCTGCTGCCTGCAACATCCTCCAGCATGACTGGTTTGACAGTGGGTCAGTAAAGGTGTGGGTGGCATTTCTTTAGGGGGCCGCACAGCCCTCCATGTGCTCGTCAGAGGTAGTCTGACTGCCATTAGGTACCGAGATGACATCCTCAGACCCCTTGTGAGACCATATGCTGGTGCGGTTGGCCCTGGGTTCCTCCTAATGCATGACAATGCTAGACCTCATGTGGCTGGAGTGTGTCAGCAGTTCCTGCAAGACGAAGGCATTGATGCTATGGACTGGCCCGCCCGTTGCCTAGACCTGAATCCAATTGAGCACATCTAGGGCATCATGTCTCGCTCCATCCACCAAGCCATGTTGTACCACAGACTGTCCAGGAGTTGGAGGATGCTTTAGTCCAGGTGTGGGAGGAGATCCCTCAGGAGACCATCCGCCACCTCATCAGGAGCATACCCAGGCATTGAAGGGAGGTCACACAGGCACGTGGAGGCCACACGTGCCTCATTTTGACTTGTTTTAAGGACATTACATCAAAGTTGGATCAGCCTGTAGTGTTTTTTTCCACTTTAATTTTGAGTGTAACTCCAAATCCAGACCTCCATGGGTTGCTAAATTTGATTTCCATTGATAATTTTTATGTGATTTTGTTGTCAGCACATTCAACTATGTAATGAACAAAGTATTTAATAAAAACATTTCATTCATTCAGATCTAGGATGTCTTATTTTTGTGTTCCCTTTATTTTTTTTGAGCAGTGTATAAAGCTGGGAAAAATAGAAGGAAACAGAAAGAAGATGACCAGGATTGTTTCAGTTGCAGAGGTGATGTGTGAATGCATTGGTGGAAGGCCTCAAGGCAGAGAGCTCCAAACTTGGCAACTTTAAGACTTGTGGACTTCAATTCCCAGGAATTGCCAAGTTTGGGGATCCCTGTCTCAAGGAATAATTTGGAGTACATCCAGAGCCTTGTACAGTCTTCACATAATTGTGTTCAGTTATGCATGATCCCTTCACAATACTGTATCCATCAGTATACACTGTGTATATGCAATTTTTGGTTAAATCTAAAATATCAAGGCTACCCAGATTGGCACAAGCCAATGTTTACTATTACAATAAGACATTAGACAATGCAAGGAATAAACCAGCTTTTTTTGTCAGCTGCATCCCAGAAACATAGAATGAATATATTATCTTACTGCTGCTTTATTGATAAGAATGGTCAATATGAGTCAGAATGTGGCTTACTAAGCCATCCAAAGTGGCCCAGTAGATCTCACACAAAACTAAGCTTAATTACCCTTCAAGAATAGAAATCAGTTGATATATATAAAATGATGTTTGTTGGTTCATAAAGTGGTAATTATCTTGTTAATGCCACGATTGTTTCAATTATATATCTTGCACATGGTTACTATTATTGTTTTTATATACTTCTGAAGATATACCTTATATCTCCATTTCTGGCATCTCCATTCCATCATTCATTCATGCCCTTCTTGGCTTATAAAAATGGCCCAGGGACTCTCTTAGGATGGGATCTAGCAGTGGTGAATTTTTCCCTGAGAGCTTTATTGAGACATGGTTGCTTGACCCCTTAAGGAGTCTAGGTTCACACTCTCCTTAAAAAGCTATCACTGGACTCCACTATACCGAACAACTTTCACCTGGTATATAAAGGGAAGTTGATTGAAAAAAGGGTGACATAACAGCATCAGATTAAACAGATTATTTGGGTCCCCTAAGATTAGGATTCAGGCCTGGATATGGAATGGAAAAGGCATTGGTCACTTTTATATGGTATCTAACAAGAGCAGGATGGAACCTACCTTTTTCTGCTTCACCTCTCAGGGGCCTCTGGTACCATCAACTATAGTATTCTTATTGACCAGCTGCAGAGATTGAGATGGGCAGCCCTGTATTGTGCTGGTTTTGCTTTTTTCTTTGCGGTCCATACTAGTTGGTGATCAGGGCCAGTCTCAACCTCGATTGTGTGGGGGTGTTTTAAGATTCAGCCCCTACCTCACTCAGCCCCTACTGTGTGCACTGCTGTAAGATTCAGTGCTTTCCTTTCTTCAATTCAACATCTCACTGAAGCTTCTGGGTGAATTAATCTGCCACCATGGGCTGAGATATCAAGATTTTGCAGCCTACTGGTTGTGGGACTATGCCATTTTTGATGCTGGATGGAATTGTACTGACCTTCACAGACTCAGTGAACAACCCATGGGGTCTTCTAACTCACAAATCTTTTTTGCCATGGTGCCTAACCTGTGAAAGACCATCCACTAAGGTTAAGTTGGCTCCATATCTGTTAATTTTTGTAAGTCATTCAAAATACTATTGTGTCATAAGGTCTGGTGATCTCAAAGCAGTGAGTTGCTGAAATGGCTCCATTGCTATTAATATCTGTTGTTCTCTCCCTGCACTTTAATCAAAATAATCTGTTTAATCTGTTTAATATTTTTATTGTTAATTGTTTGTATACCATAGTCTTATATATATTTTATTGTATATCACTCAAAGTCACATTTTGTAAGATGGATTGCTCTGAATAATGATAATTGAATACATAAATGTCTTTACTGTCTTGTGTTGGTCATATGAGTTGCAATCTGATACTTCTAAAGGATGGCATATATATGCATACTGTATATATGTATGTGTCTGT